AGCAAAACTTTCCCATTCGCGGATGGGAAAGTTTTACTCAAGACCGAGTGTTGTACCAATATCATTAATGTTGTAAGCCTGAGCCAGCAGGCTACGATCCGGCTTGTATCTATTAACTAATTATCTGTTGATATTCATTGAGTTTCTGTTCTTTTCGATGTTTTTGCATCCTGCTGCTTACAGCACCACCTCGGCAAGCGACCAGCACGATACCATCAATACGGTCATTCGCAGCACCGCATTCGATTGAGCATTGTAATTCACCAGGTTGCTATAATGAGAATATTTGTTGCTCATTTTGGGGTTTACAAGGACAGTGCTCGTTGAATGCAACCTGGATGGCATGCAATTGTAAAGTGAGTTGTGGACTGTGCATACCGACAAGTTATGATTATGGAAGTACGTTTTGCATGACTGCTTCATTATTCAGTCATTTGTTCATTTTTTTGAAATTTTATTTTTATTTATTTTGAATTTTGTCTACTTATTTTAAATATTTTGAGTTCATATGAGGGATCTGTTCCATCTCGGAGCATTCGTATTCTCTGAGTGTGAAGAGGCATGGAACTAAACTTTTTTCTGAACTTAGAGTCTGATTTCGGTAAATGTTTTTAAAAAGTTTATTTTTACAACTTAGAATTAGGATACCTTATTGTCAGAATACGACACTCTAATGCTGCCTGCATAAATTCACTCGATTTGAATATTAATGAGTATTTTTAGCATCAAAATATCCCTTAATCTACGTTATATTGAATCGATTTCCGGGGAGCAAAATCCGATTAGAGTTAAGCTAACTATAGGAAAAGCAGTAAGTGAAGCGTAGATTAAGTGCGTCAACAGATGTTAAAGAACATCACAGAATATTGCTGAACATTTTGCAGCATGCAAAGATTACCATGCCGGTTGTCATAAATGGTCTCAAGCTGGTGAATGTAGTCGTAATGCGTGGATGCTAGAGAACTGTCGTCAATCGTGTCGATCGTGTATGGACGAAAATGAATTGCGACGACGATGTCGTGTCACCATTCGAAGACATCCCTTCGAATTGCAACGATTTCAAAACGATATCGATTATGAATTCAACTGACTGAATCAATCCGTTCACTCAAAACTCATATTCATAGTCTATTGGCTTTTATTTCGTGTTGTTTCATATACCGTATCAATAACGCTTCAAAATGATTCGTCTCTGCTTAAGAACTGGAACTCAGCATTTATGTCATCATCTACTATTTGCTTATTTGGAATAGAATCTCACAAATCACCTGGAACAGGCAGATTAGCGCGGAAATTCATCGATCTGGGTGAGTAAGGAATGAGATCAAATTAAGTCGATCATTTATGAATCCAATACCATATTAAGTTCGCCCGGTTCGAATGTTCTCTTCTCAATAATTTTTGTTCAATTTCCAAAAATTCAGTGCCATATCATATGCCTAACGGCGCAGTTGTTGTCAGTCAGTCAAAAATATGTCAACTTTTGTTTCCTGACGGCTAATATTTTGGGAGGTGTTCGAGCATCATCGTTGTTATGCTCATTCATCATTCTGTTTATTACCGAAAATTTGAATTCTACTCATTTATGATATAGCATTCATCAAATGCGGGTTATTCTACAATGCTTTTATTTGAGTACACATGCCTGTTGCCTGTTTCTTCTCTGAAAAAAAAGTGAATTAATTGTGCAAAGAATATCTGAAAATCACATGATATCATATAAAGTTTATTGTTCACACCAATAATTTATGTTGCATTCAACATCTCTCTGAAATGTGAACAATGTATATATAAATAGTTACCGATTGCATATGATATGCATATGATCGGATTTATTGCTTATTAATCTTCAGTATTTTATCTCTCTCTGTTTCGCAATGTCGAACTCTGAAATGCAGCTAGCTGAGATCATCGAGCTAGCTGGCTGCGTTCGTGCCGAATTGCTTGCTGTCAGCTCGTCAGGAAATGAAATAAAAAAGAGTGATAATATCACAAATCAGTGAACCGCCAAATGTTTGATTCGCAACCAGCCGATGTTATAAGATGTGTTGGTCGAGAAAGTTTTCTCGAAAACAACGTTGTTGGTGATAGGGAGTGGATGAGGAGGTATATTCTCGAGATGAGATCGAGTTGCGTTTAGTGAGTCGTCGTGCACTTTGCTGTACGTACGTTCTCCATCCTCTTATTTCTGCTGCCGCTGCTGCTGCTCCTATATTTTTTCCATCTTTGTTAATCTATTTGAAGAATTTTTCCGTTCTCATTTTGAATCTTTTTGTTCTCCCGGCGTTCTTTTTTTTTTGTTGTTCTCCTGAAAATTTCTGCTGCTGACATCCGACCTCGTGTCAGATCACTGGCAATTAAGGATAGAACGCAATGTGGATTGGATTGGTTCGTGTAGATTGTCGTCGTTTGTTTTATATTACATAAATTGATGTGCCACAAGTTGACTCGTTGTAAATTCTTTGGGCCTTTCGAAAAGTGAACAGCAGCAATAAATCAAATTTTCAACTCATAAGTTCAAAGTATGGGCAATGACAACACAAAGCATTAAACTGCATTCCACTTAGCCCAGAGAGCAATAGCAATCGCCAGCGAAACAATTTTGCTATCGAAAACCAATGGAGCAAACGGTTTTCGTCAAATTTTCGATCAATTCATAATTAGAGGCATTCCAGATCTTTGTGCAAGTGCCGAAAACATATTGGAAACTTGAGAAAATCAATTCATCCGGTAGGTGTCTCCTCTGATTGACCGATTTCCTGCTACGTTTATTCACTGTGCCGACACACAAACAATTCAGGCAAGCAGCGACAGTGAATTTGAGTGCTGATTTCTATTGGGTGATGAAGTTATCATTTCCGAATGTTGGAAATATCTGTATATTTTTTGTGTCGTTTGTGTTGCTGATACATTTGGGATGTGTGAAATGCAACAG